CTTTCCCTCGGAAGCAGTCTGTATATCGTAGGAACGTCAATCGTGCAACGAATCGCACTGGTGGACGGGAATGGACTATCTAGATCGCCATTGAGAAAGCATGGAAACCTGGCATCGAGCACCGACCGCCGGCTGGAGGTGGAAATTGCAGTCGCAGCACCGATGCATCGACGCTCGCAACGAGGCGCGAGGGTGTTTTATACGCCGTGCGACCGGCGCCGGTTGTCGGCGAGACGAGAACCGTTATCGGACGACGTTCTACCCTTCCTGCTCAACGCGTCTGTCTCTCCAGCCAGGTTCTCTCTATTTCCCTCTGCTTTCTACGATCCACTTTCCCAGCACCTCATCCTTCGCTTCTCCTTATCCGCTTCGAGCTTCACCGAGCTCCTTTTCCCTTCCGTTCTTCCTTTCGGTCTTGTTCCTTTCGTTCCACTTTGCCCGGGACTCCTTCTTTTCTGCGGTTAATCCACTTTCCAGCTAGGTATCGAGCGTTATTAGAAGCCTCGCGATAATCAGTGGATTTCGTTTCTTCGAGCACAGTGCGCTAGAAAACGTTGATTCGTGGACAAAATTCGATTTTACAATTTTATTTAAGAACGCTTTTTTTTTTAACTAACAACACTCTAACTCTGTGAATTCGTAGTTGCTTGAAGCTATGGTTTGAGTTTCGTCTTCTTAACCTCTTCAGGACTAAATTATTTTATCCTTGGTAAAGGAAAATTTAATGATGAACATTCAATTGTAACTCTAGTGGTTACTATTATGATGTAATATTCAAAATAACTTAAATAGAGAGGTACACATACGAGTCAGTATCCTTGAAGAGGTTAACAACGAGTAAACAGAGTAATTTACCTCAGTTTTTTAAAATAAAAGAAACTAATTCTGATAATAAAGATGATATAAGGATAAACTTACAGATTTCTATATAAGGAGCCGTGATTAATTAAAACCACAAAAAATATATTCTAAATGCAAGAAAACTTTGCATGAAAGATATTTGTAGTGAATTATTGGACTATTTTTATGGAGTTTTTCTCATTGTACGGGGTTAAGCAACAATTTATCAAACATTCTTAGAATTTCTACATATTCTTCAACAAAATACGTGTCGGTTGCATTTTGAAACATTAAAATCGTCGAATCCGTTCAGGAGTTATGATTTTTTAAACATACGTATGACAATTTCAGGGGAATCGTTCATTCATGATCAGACATTGTATTTTCGGTAAAGAATTTTTTTTCTCGAAAGTGCGTAGGATTTCGGTGATATATCTATTCACCAAAAATGATTGTAATTGACCCCCGGAACCAAAAATAATTTTTTCAGAACAGTTTAAAATTTTTTAATTTTGCCAAAAAAGAGCATCATAGATGTTTCTTAAAAATTCGTTTTTGATTTTTAATAAATCTGTACGCCGACCTACGGAAATGTAGGGAAATTTAATTGAATTATCGATGGACAAAGGATAGCCAGAGTAATTTACCTTTCTCTGTTAAACATTGAAGAATATCAGACTGTTTACATTTGAAACATCCATTTCTGCTATTTCCTACGTCCTACGAAGGAAAAATTAAATACCTGACCGTCCAATTTGTTCCAAAGATCGCATCGTCGACGTTTAAATTCGCCAGCGCCGAGCCTGACCGTCTCTCGTTCCTTTTAAAGCCGAGGTCCCCGGCGAAGATCGCGCTCAAGATGATTATTCCGCATCATTCCTCGACTCTCTTTAAAATATGCAATCGTTGCAATATCTCACCCCGCGTAACGCGTTCCTACCTCCCCGTGGTCTCTGACCTTCCTCTTACTCGCGTTATCTCTGCAATCTTGGTTGTTCGTCCCTCTTTTTCCCGTCGCTTCTTGCCGCCCGCTCGGAGTTCTCCGCCTCGCTTCTTCGTTATCTGCACTGTTTCTGCGTTTCGGTCTGAGCACGCCGTGTCAGACTTTCAGAGGCTGCAAAGGCACCCACCCCGTTCCTCTGTCTTCTGTCAGGGACCAGTCACGCGCGTCCACCGAGATAAGGCTCGCCATCATCGCCGTCGACAAGGTCGAACAATACCACCACCGGCACCCTAACGTTAGGACCGACGAGGAACGAAGATCCCTCTGTTGATAAGGCTGCCACGTGATGTGTCGCCCTAATAGTTCTTCGCCGCTTCTGTCTTCCTCTGGAAGGTCGTGACACCGTATTCCGAGGGACGGTCGGTCCTTTTTTCCAGAAATTCCATCGACTTTGCCCAAAAATCGGACTCCGAAACGGTAGAGAATCGGTCTAAAACGGGCTTAGGCAAGGGTCGCGAAAAACGAAGACGCAAACTGAGACTCGTGGATAATTATACTTCGTGTGAGGCGATTTCCCGAAATTCCAGCAATATATTCTTATTGTTAGGGAAGAAATAGTAGAAGTTTCCTACCCTTTCGCGTTTACTCTTTCACCCCCTTAAGCAGAAATCTTTCAGAACTCGTAGTACAATTACAAATTTTATTTCGTTTATATCAGCAAATATGGACATACTGATCACTACTGAACAATAATTATGTCTGCTACATCTAATACTAGAAAGTTTCCCTAAACTAGAGTTAAAATATCAACTATACAATTCGAAGAATTTTTGTATATTTATATTCACAAATAGAGACAATATACAGGGTGATTTCAAACAACCCATAAATTATTATTGTCCAAAAAGCGATTCAGATCAAAGTTGTATGGTTTTTAGATGTCCATATAGTACCGTATATAGCATTGCAAAATTCCTATCGCGAAATATGGGGGTTGTCCATTACAAAATAATTAAAACCGTTGACCTCGAATGCACACGCTCCCCAAAAATAATATTTAAAGATTAATTTCCGTGCAGCAATTAGGAGGGTCTCGAAGTTTCGTTTCCTCGTTTTTCCGTACGTTAAAGGGTAATCGTTGCCCGTGAAAAAATCGGAGATCCTTGCCAAATTGAGATTACGCTCGACGAAAGGAAACACTCGTGTCGGGAACGTACGAAATCGTTGCTCTCTCCGGTGTAATCCATCGGATTCCATTAAGGGCGACGCTCATATTCGACGCTGGTCCGCTTTTTCCCGCGGGGTATCGAAAAATACTGTAATTTATCAAGCCGTGGTTACGGCACTGCCCTCGAGTTCCTCAGCGGGGACTTTAACCCTGTCTGGGTCGGCCTCTCCTCTCCCTTCGTCGTTCGTTCTTTCGTCTTCTTCCTTCGTCCTTTCAGAATCCCTTCTGTAGTTGTTAATGCATACGTCCACCATAGTCGGCCTCGAAAGTCGACGCCCACCGTTAACGTTGGCGCTTAACAATTCCGAGAAGACCCGGCTACGCGGAGGGTACACGATGAAAAGGCGACTCGCGATCGTCGAGAAAAATGGGAACAATGGCGGGGAAGGATTTATTTCGATGCTTATGAGAATATTCCGTCGGGTACGCCGCGCCGAGAACGATTCGCGATCTTAAGGGAATTGATATTTCCTGTCGGTTAATTTTTTTACGCCGCGGGAATTCAACGCTCGAACGCCCAGTCCCTCTCGAATCGGATGCAACGACCACGTTGAGAAAGTTGTTACAGAAAGTTCACGAATCGAAGGGGAAAAATACCATCGAAACGGGGTGACTCCTCTCGTAGGTTTCTCGTTAATTTTAACTTCCTCACGGGACTGAGACAAATTTCATAATGCAAGTTAAAATAAATAAGTTCAAAAAATATGCTTTATTCCAATAATAATATAGAAGAGCAATTATGGGTTCTAACAAATGATTCTCTTTATTTCCCAAGGGTTCAGGTTACAATATTATTTTTCTGTTTATATACGTGAATTCAGGGTACAATTTTGGGACGATTTTATATTTACAAAGGCTGAAATGTCGAAATAAATAAGTTCAAAAAATATGCTTTATTCCAATAATAATATAGAAGAGCAATTATGGGTTCTAACAAATGATTCTCTTTATTTCCCAAGGGTTTAGGTTACAATATTATTTTTCTGTTTATATACGTGAATTCAGGGTACAATTTTGGGACGATTTTATATTTACAAAGGCTGAAATGTCGAAATAAATAAGTCCAAAAAATATGCTTTATTCAAATAATAATATAGAAGAGCAATTATGAGTTCTAACAAATGATTCTCTTTATTTTCCAAGTGTTCAGGTTACTATATTATTTTTCTGATTACATACGTAAATTCAGGGTACAATTTTGGGACGAGTTTATTTTAATGCGAGATTCTAGAGGCCAAAATAAGACGAAAATCAAGAACATCAATTTCTTGTCTGAGGCTTCATTAAAAAGTTATTAAAAAATTAAATTAAAAAATTTCAAATCGTTCTGAAAAAATTAGTTTTGGTTGCAGGGCTCAATTACAATCATTTTATGTAAATTCACATTCCCCAGAAATCCATTCCACTTTCGAGAAAAAAATTCAAGCAGGTACTGAAATTTTTAGACGAAATTAAAAAATTTCAAATCATAATAAAAAAATTATAGTTAGTTACAGAGGTCAATTACAATTATTTTTTGTGAATATACCTACCCCCAAAATCCTACCCACTTTTTAGAAAAAAATTCAGTACAGGCAGAACTTTAAACGTTAATAACGTTTTAACGAAGCCTCCATCAACAAATTAGTATTCTTGATTTTCGTTTTATTTTGGCCTCTAGAATCTCTCATTAAAATTTTTCCCAGGTTGGCCGAACACCGGGTATTTACCAAGTCTGAAACGTCAAAATAAATAAGTCCAAAAAATATGCTTTATTCAAATGATAATATACAAGAGCTATTATGGGTTCTAATAAATGATTCCGTTTATTTTCCAAGTGTTCAAATTATTATATTATTTTTGTGTTTATATGCGTGAATTCACGATACAATTTTATATGTACCAAAGCTGAAACATCGAAATAAACAAATCCAAAAAATATATTTTATTCAAGTAATAACATAGAAGAGCAATTATAAGTTCTAACAAATGATTCTCTTTATTTTCCAGGTACGTAACTGGCAACGACACAATAATATTTTGTCCCCATCTCTCCTGAAAACTGTAAGTACGTCTTTGATGAAATCACTCGATTTTATAAACCTTGGACAATATCATATTTGACTATCGATGAATCAGAAATAGGTAGAATTTGATTCGAATATTTCGTTGTGAAGTTCGTGCTTAAAATTTTTATTTCTATTTAAAACTTTTGTCCAGAACGAGTTAGAAGAAATTCGTTCCGATGAGAGTCTATACAAAGTAGAATTTCCGATTACGGAACGCTGACACAACAAATTTCCAGGCGCGATTATTAACGCCGGCGCGACCGTTAAAGAATTAATGGCGCGGAAGCATTCACAAGTCCGCAGCATGAAAACTAAATTAACCCTCGTCATTGGCCAATGCTTTAAACGGAATTTCTGCCCCTCTTAATGGCTGTTCCGTGTTGAACAATTTTTATACGAGGCGAACGCGCGGGAAAACCAATCGCGAGTCGTTTTACATTCCGTGACCCGGGTTTCCTGGGAAAAATATATCTCGAGTAATTGAAACGTTTCGATGTCGAGCAACGAAATCACCGAGAGGGTCTTATCACTCTGGTCCTCGAATCTTCTTTGAAATTCAATATCGCTTCGAAAATTGTAACAATACGCGATCGTCGATCTCGTCCTCGTTAAATCGAGTCACTCTCGAGTCGAGTAATTCTCGTGCAGCACGCGAGCAGTGCATTTACTATGTAAATGAATAATTAGTACAATTTCAACTAATCGAGAGGATCTCCTCTAATCGAAGAATAATCCGTAATTAATCACTGCGCAACAGCGTAACAATGCAACGCGTTTAGGTGTGTGGTCTGAAATGGATTTACCAGGCACCCTGCTGTTCGGAATTTTGAGCATACGCCGTTAGCACTTTCATTTCCAGCCATGTGGCTATTTAGAATCATCGAACATAATGTTTGGAATATATTTTTAAATTTTGTGTATACGTATTAATTGTTTCTAATTTTTTACAAATGCTGATAGCATATATTTTAACTTGACAAATCTTTTATCTTGATATTTTCATCCTCGTCATTAGACTACGGATCTCCATGCAAATTCATATTTTTGTTAATAGAATTAATGACATGGGAGCTTTGCAGAGGGTTGTCTCAACCCTTAAATATAATAATTCGTATCTCACTGTATTTCTTAAATTTTTGCAAATTAAGCAACCAACTAAATTTTTATTCCATCCCTATCAACTATCCCTACATATAATTTAGGACAATTTTTACACCTTGTTTTGATCAAGTTTATCCTTTCCCAGTACCACTATAAAGTCGCTTTAATTCGTCAGTTTCTTTATCTGTGCTGTTTTATCATCGCTCCGTGAGATCGAAACCTTCCTCGCGAGTTGATTAAGTATCTTTTATTCTTCTCGGTGATTACCTTAGCCCCCTAAAGAAGTTGACCCTTCCTTTTTAACACCCTATACAGGCGTGCAAGAGCGCGCGAAACCATTCATCGTGAGCGTCGACGCGGATATCTGATCGTTGGCCAGCGAATTCATTAACGGAAAACGCGTCGTTGGCGGCGTAAAAGAAAGGCCGCCGAAAGAAAATAAGAAGCTGAATGGTAATTGATTGCCTGCATAAAAGCCCGAACGGTATCGCTAAATCATTTCGATGGGTGTACGTAAACCGTTCGCAATCCATTTAGGAGCGCGTCGCGTTTTCGCGTGCGTGGACATTTTCGTGCGTCGGACCTGGAAATCCGCGCCGGTTATTTATTAACGTAATTAAACGATCCAATTACACGCGTAAAATATGAATTTTATCGGGCGGAATGCCACAGTCGCCCCGGCACGGTACACATTTTAATTACGGCGCGTTCGAGATTAATAAATAAATCTACGCCGGAGGGGGATACAAATAATTCGTTAATAGCGCGCACCCCGGTCGTTTACGACGCTGGAAAAGGTTTATAACGAATATGGGACGTGATAACGGGAGTAAGCGGTGAAATCAACGTTAAAAGCAAACGCGTTTGGTCTCTCATGCAGGTTTAAGACTGTCCCGTTACGGGGCATCGATTTTACGACGAAACTTTACGTTCGAACAAAATCGACCCTGCACTCGACATTCTCAAGCGTTTTTGCCTTCGTCAGCACGCTGTACTAATTATCGTAATTTTTATTATGAAAAAATGACGTTTTTAACGCTAGAACTACCGACAATTATAGTGTGTTTATTTGGACCGAAGAAATTGAAACGATAGGTTCGCGAAGAAATGTATAATGCAATGGAAATAAGCGTTTATATATTCTCTTATAGAAAATTTTTTGTAAGTTTTATTAGAAATTATGAATGAGTCATTTTGACTGGTTTGGTAGTTCTAGTGTTAATGTCTACGAGTTACAAAGTTGTGTAAACTAGTTATATTCTAGTGGTGGTATAACAAATGTATTGCTCGAAGCTGGAAAGTTGGCACCTTTCGGTTCTAGTATAAACTCTTCCCTATGGGCCTATTAAAATTGACGTATTTAGTATTCTGTCTACAAATTACAAGGTTGTATAAACTTGTTATATTCTATCGCTGGGAAAATGTGACAACAAATGTATTACTTGAAATTGGATAGTTGGCACCTTTTGTTGGTTCTAGTATAAACTTCTCCCTATGGACCTACTAAAATTCATGCATTTAGTATTCTGTCTACAAGTTACAAAGTTGTGTAAACTCCTTATATTATAAATATATACGTAATAACAAATGTATTGCTCGAAGCTAGAAAGTTGACACCTGGGAAAATTGACGACTTTGTTGGTTCCAGCATAAACTCCTCCCTATAGACCTGCTAAAAATGACTTATTTAATATTCTGTCTAGAAGTTACAATGTTGTTTAAACTTGTTATATTCTATTGATGGGAAAATGTGACAACAAATGTATTACTCGAAGTTGGATAGTTGGCACCTTTTGTTGGTTCTAGTATAAACTTCTCCGTATGGACCTACTAAAATCGATGCATTTAGTATTCTGTCTACAAGTTACAAAGTTGTGTAAACTCCTCATGTTATAAATATATACGTAATAACTAGACTGCGGATCTTTATGCAAATTCATGAAGATAAAAATTAATGAAATTGGAGCTTTGTAGAGGGTTGTCTTAATCCCTAGATATAATAATTCGTACCTTATTTTAAGTATTTCTTGTATTCTTGCATATTAACTGAATTCTGTAGTTTTTTAAAAATTAAAATTTCCCATAAATGCATAAACATCCGCAGTCTTGTAATAACAAATATATTGCTCGAAGCTAGAAAGTTGGCACCTGGAAAAATTTTGTTGGTTCCAGCATAAACTCCTCCCTATAGACCTGCTAAAAAATGACTTGTTTAACACTAGATTCACGGCAACCGTCAATTTGACGGATGTCAGATTCCATATTTAAAATTGCAGAACGCGTAAATATTATTTTTTAACAACTTATGTTGAATTTGTTTAGTGCAATGGCATGAATACATATTCTAATTAAAAGAAAAATCGTGTTTTAAGGTAAACGTCAACATGAAAGGTATCAATAAATATACGTGCGATCAATGCCCGCAAATCTAATATTAATATTCTGTCTAGAAATTAGAAAGTTGTTTAAACTTATATTGCTTGAGGCTGGAAAGTTGGCACCTGATAACACAGACATTTAACATTTCAAGATTAAATTTAGACAACCCTGCTCCGCACGTAAAAAATTTATAAATCTTCCACCGTCAAATTTTTAATTTCAAAGGGATCGCGTTATCGCGGTAGCATAATGGATGTAAAATCGTTAGCGGAATACGTAATATATCTGCGGCGTTCATCTTCCGGGCGCGTTCATTAGCATAATTCTCGTACGGTTTCGGGTTAACCGAGCCTCGCGGAGAGCTTTTTCCGCGCAGCTCGGGGCCACATATCGATAAGCAGGCATTGCGGGCTACCGAGCGTTGCGAGAGAGGGAATTCATTAACAAGAAACTCCGGTGGTATCGGCGTAATGGTGACGGCGGTTGTGCTGGCGGAGACGAAACACCGTGGGGGAGGGCAGGCAACAAAACCGAGCAACGTTGGCCAGCTAGGGTGGCGGACAATCGAAACCGAAATCGATAACTCATCGTGCGCGTCTGGCGGCATCCGATCGCTCGCTCTCCCTCGTACCTTCCTTCGGTTCTCCCTTTCCGTTCTCTGTTTCAACCCCTCGCGTGTCAATCACGCGACGTCACCGGCGATCCCCGAACGAGCGTCGTCGAACGACGTTTAATGACGCGGGGCTTTCTTGTTTCGTCGGTCTGGGATCGCTTCAGCGACAAACGCCGCGCGAAAACGGTACGGAGAAACGGCGAAAGTGAACCGTGAAGCCACTATCCTGCTCGAACGACGCTATCGAGGTAAAAGTCGCGCGTGAGAATTATGTGGCGGGCGCCAGTCGCGCAGCAATTCCTATGAATCGGTTGGGAAACACGAGTATACGGTATAAACAGAGAACTTATAATTTTATCGATGGCGGTGAAAGTAAATTTTCAAATTAGGAATGACGGTCTTCGTTTTAGACATCACTACTGTGATCTTTGTTGTATGAAATTATATACAAACGTCCCAATATCGACAACCTAGAAGGGTCTCTACATGGAAAAGAAAATCGAAAATAATTAACAAGATTTGTTTCATGTAAATCGACATTGAGTATACCAAAGGATTAATACAATTTAACGTTTATTTCGTGGAAAATAAAGAGTGTAATCGTGGGGCCATGGAAAATAGTGGGCCTACGGTGTTCAGCCAGGATCAATTAAGTTTCTCTCGGGGAAGATCCCATTGTGCAAGCTCACGATTCCCACCCCCTGGCAGTGAGAGTCTCTACTCACGCAACAGAAACAAGACGTCACACCCAGCGTGCTCGGGTCTGTCAGGAAGATGGAACGACCAGCGTGGCTGAGAACGCGTTCAACGCTCCGTAAACGAGCGGATTCCGTGATCCGACGGCTTGTAAACACTGCATTTCGAACGGCCAGTAAATCGAGAAATATCGCATCGTCGTTTTC